TAAACTTCTTGTTAAATTGTTGTTTAAATCTGCCCTAACCTCTTGCCTAAAACTTTTAATAAAACATATAATGATAAAAATATAGTCTTGAGCCATTTAACTACAATAACTATAAAGCTGTGAAAAGATTTTAATAAACTATAACTATTATGTTCGCAAGAAGTGATTATTCAATTTACATCAATATCCTCTGAATAAAATGAATTGTTTTCATGTTTATGTTCTACATCAAACTTTGTCAAAAGACCCAAAACATTGAAAATGACCCACCAGTTTATAATTACACATTCTAGTCCTTCCAAGTTATTGAGTCATTACAAAAATTATTCCAAGATACGCTTCCAAGTAAATGTAGATAACATAGTTTTGATGTTTTCGTTTAGAACTATGACTAGCTCAATTTAGTTTAAATTGCCTCGTGTGTTAAATTTTTGTTTTACCTAATAATTATGTCCTACTTTAATTTGAAATGACAATACAACACTAAGTTTTATTACTAATTTGAAAAAGAATAGTTAATGATTTAGGGTATACTAATGCATTTAAAATGGGATGCAAAATTAAATGTACACAAAAGGATGCAACCTAAGGTATACCAATTATATCGCCGCAAAAATCAATCAATTTTATGTAAAAACAACAAGTTGCTTTCAATCCAAATACTGATTTCATGGTCCCAAAAATAGCAATTCAATCATGATTAAAAATTAAACTACAAAAAAACTTCAAAATGTATCACAATTGACAAAATTGTAACCATGAGCACACAGAAGAATAAGCAAAGTAAAAGCAATGAGCAAGGATAGAAAACATGAAAAATAAAGATCCAAGCCATAAGCCAATTAAAGGATAATCAACTGCAAAAATAGTCATCAACTTCAAGTAACTATTCTCTCTCCCTAATTTCTTTATTCCCCCAGCTTACCTATCAAGCAGGGCTATGAAAGATCTGATTTCGAGCCGAACTAGGGTAGACTTGAACGGGTTTGAACACAACTCTAAATTGACTCTTGGCTCATTATATTCAGTTTTGAGCCCACTCAGCTCGAAGTTGAATCTAATTTGATCTGACTCGAAGTCAGAACAAGCTAAGGCTCAAATTGAGCAATTCAGATTCGTTCCAGCAGAAAAATAATAAAAGATCTGGCTCGTTTCGATGGATCAAGCATAAAATAAATAAATACAAACAAATTACACGAAAAGCCTACCATTTTTTTATTCTAAAATTTTATGAAAAATTTACATACACTCCATTCTTATATACTTACATATCTAACACCTAAACTTCAATTTTTACATACATAACAACTTGCATATGTTTGGAAAGGTGTAATTGATTTTCTAAAAGTTAAAATGGTGGTATTTTTTTAATGTAATATGAATGATTTGGGTGGCACTAAATGTAAAAACTAAAAGTTAAATGTTGGATATGTAAATACATAGGAATTTCATGGTATTATGTATGAAAAAGCCCCAAATTATATATATATATATACCAATTTATGGTAGTGAACCAAGAAAAAAGAAAAATCTTTTCGGCGTTTTTATGTCTGGGATGGACGCTTTGTTGCCTTGTTCTTGTTGACTCAGCCCGTTTTGGATTAAAACCTTAGTGGAATAATAATAATATCATCTAGCTGATGTTAAATTACTCTATTAAGCTTATTTAAAGAAAAAGAATTCTAAATGTTTTTCTAATTGCTTTTCATGAGCACTTCTTCTAGGAACAATAGTACTACAATATCTAAAAATCTAAAAAGAACTCAATCAAGAAATAATAATATTAAAAATGCAAAATTACAGGAATATCTTGTAAATGAATAAGATTTAAATAAATGGGCTAGCTAAAGTAGAAAAAACTCTAAAATATACAAAATTGAAACTTTTGATTTTAAAGGAAAATCATCAATTAAAACTGTTGAACAATCGTTAACAATAGATAAATAAGAAAAAACAATTTTTCTTTTAAATAAAGAAGATATAAGTAATTATTTAGAAAGTAATAAATATATTCACATAGGTTTAATACAAGTAGCATTTAAACCTCTTACGCTTAGAGGATTAAACGCTTCAATTTTAGCGTGCTTGAGATATGCAAGATGTCTAAATTGGGCACAATCATTGATGGGTGTCATGGAAACTAGCCTATGTCATATTTCACTGATAGACATAAATCTCTTTGAAGCAGCTAAACTACCGATAAAATCACACGGGTATGAATTTTTACCTGGATCTGAAACAATCACAATAATCTATCGAATTCATTTCAAAGTTAAGAATATTTTATGTCCGAATATTAAAAATAATATGAAGCCAACAGATAGATCTATAATTATAGAAACTAATCTGCTAGCTTCAAATATAGCTACAACTAAGACTATAAAATGGGATGAAGTTAGACTCCCTGAATCATGGCAGTTGCAAACTGTTATAAATTCTCATCCTGTAATAAATCAGGATGTAGAACAAGTTAGTCAAGATGCTAATGGAGATTTTGTCATAAGATTCAATCCAAGAAAGTCCATTACTCTTCCACGAATATCTTATCCCTCTTCTAATATATTTTAAAATGATTCAGATAAATTATCAATAATAAATCATAGGATAGATAGAATAAATTTATTAAGTAATAATTTATTACACCCAAATAGGGTAGAAAATCTATCTCCGTAATCGGAAGCCAGTTTTAATTTTAATATGGACTGATTTAAAACAATTCATCAAAAAACAAATCAGACAAACTTTAATCAATAATTATTTAGAACCAAAATATGAATCATTTAGAAGTTGGTATCGTATTTATATCACAGAATATGATAGAAAAAAAATTTCTGAAATTTATTTTTAAGAAAATGAAAACATATTTTATGAAGGAAATGAATTTCTTTCATTCTTAACCTGATTCAGTAATCATATAACAAAAAAATTAGAAGATGAATTAGACATGCTGACCAGGAAATGAAAAATTAATTCTGGAGAAATAGTAGAATCAGTTTATTTACAAATCCAACAAGTCACAGAATTTGTGCAAAAAATAACGAAAGAAAAAATCTTCAAAATCAATTTAGATGATTATGAAATTAATGATCCTTGAAAAATTCAGGAAAAATATTTAGGCACAATTGTCTATTCTCAGGATAGTCTTGATCGAGAATCGTATGAGACAATCCTCATTTCATTACAATATGTTGAAATTCAACATAATTATAATGAACCAAATAAATCTATTGCATATAGCAAGGCGACAATAAATCACATCTTGCATCAGAGAGATTGGGGTTTAACTCTTTTTCAGACTAAACAGGTTGAATTTATTCATCCTGTAAGTAATCAGAAAAAAATCATTTTTTTAATTGTTGAACCTATGCCCAAGCTATGAATCGAGCTTTCTTGTTTATTAATCCAAAGCATAAACACTCTTGATTTTTTGTGTTAATGCCTGAAATCTTGAATAAAGAAATACCAAATTGATTTTTAGAATGGTGGGAAAAATTTGGAGCAACCAATAAAATTCTTCCAGAACCAATCAATGATCTCTATCTAATGTGGGTTCTCTTCTCCACAGCTCGACAAAATAAAAAATAAAATTTTAGCCGATGGAATGTGTGAATTATTATTCTTCTGTCAAGCACAAATTCAATGGATCTTTGCTTGGAATTTATGTCATCAACGAGATAGAGTCAATGTCAAAGAATTATGGCGGATCTTCTTCATCACATGGTGGTCACAAATCGTTGTTGGTGATAAAATAATTCAAATTAATAAAATCATTAATTCTAATGTCGAAAATAATCGAGAAAAGAGATCCTAAAAATTTTCATTTAAGGAAATTCATGATCAAATTAAAAGGAAATATTCTCGAGAATCTCCGAATCAAATGAAACAAAGAATAAAAGAATTTTATCAGAAACAGATGAAATAATTATTTGAAACAGAAGACGGCATGTCAGTCTCTAATTAAGGGTCAGATGACGATGAAAATTGAGAACGAATGGTAACCCATCTCGGCTCAAATTAATTGCAGTGGACCTCCACTAAGGTCATTTCAGAAGAAATTATGGATAATAATGACAGTGGTTGATGGTTGAAATAGTACAGGTTGGTGATTGTAATAATTATGGTAGGTGTAATAGTATTTTAAAATAATTTTTTGTTTTTTGGATGTAATATCTTTTGTTCAACTCTATTGTATTAAGTTTAGAGTCCGCCCTCTATTATAGATATATATAATTAAAAATTTTATCCGTAGTAGTTTCGAGTCATAGCTTAGCTCGTTTAATTTGATCCGAGCCAAAATTCAATCTACTTTGAAAACAATTAATGATCTTCAAGCTCAATTCTTAGTCCTGCCATTCGGTGGTAGCTCACGAAACACCGAATTAATACGTAAGTTAAAAGGTGTAATAGTATTGTGTGGTGCGTACGTAAATCACCCTGAAAAAATCGTTAAATGATATGCTAAGCAACACGGAACAAGCAAACGGAGCAATTAATACGTAAGTTAAAAGATGGGAGAGGGATTGAGAAAGAGAAGACAAAAATGTAATACATCATCGAAATGATGTAAATACCTAGTTATGACCGACGATAAAGATCTCAAACTTAAAAAAAAATAAAATTGGCATTCATCGTTGTATTCCCAGCGACAACATTAAAGAAAAAGTAAAAAAAACAAAGTTAAAAGTCAATAAAACAAAAACGCTGCAGAAGAACATGGACGCCCCAATCATTGAAAGCTCGAAGCTAAAGACCCCCAATGCATCGATCAAAAAAAAAGAAAGAAAAAGAAAAAACGAAAACATCCATACACACCAAAGGAACCAACGAAAACAACCAATATCCCATCATCCAAAACCCCTAAACGCAAACACAATAGATCAATGAAGCAGATACTACAGAATCCTATGGTCTGACTGTAAGCTTTATGCAGAACTAGTTAGGGTTTAGGGTTTAAAAAAATATTAAAAAGAAGAAAGCAAATAAGTAAGAGCAATCCATACGCTTGCCGCCACCCAAGACCTGATGAACGGGCTTCTTCCTCCCGAAAACTCGTCGGAATCCTGTTTTAACAGAGGAAGAGTTTCCCGATTTATCGTTGCCAGAATCAGACGATGAAGAAGATGAATCGTTCCTATGAATCTTCTCCGCAAAAGACCTCGGCTCCGCCCTCGGAATCGATTCCTCCACCTGCTCAGCCATCACCGTTCAAAAAACTTCGCTTCTTCTTTTTTTTTCCTTCTCCTCTCTCTCTCGCTTTTCAATCTTCGCGAAAGCGAAGAGGCGCTCGGAACGTTTCACCAGTAGAAGACACGGAAGAAGGATCGGAGTCCAAGTGTCGAATTTCTTGCCACGTAGGGTTAGGGGGCGATCGCAGCCGCTGAAACGAAGAACTTTCGCCGCTTAGGTAGACGGCTATTAATTTGACGGTTAGGCTTTTGGGCCGAGTCAGATCGGGTCGAGCTGTGGGCGCAAAGCGGTGCGACGGCGGGCGGGCACGAATGGTAACGGCGGCATGGAGGGGTTCGCCCCCGCCGGGCTTGGCATGGGGAGAGTGCTGAACCGCTCATTAATATTTCGTTGATAATGGGAGCTTTCTGACACCATGAACTTCTCATGGACGGCCAGAGAACTTTTTCTTTTTTTGGCATTTAAATATATATTGCATAAGAACATTGTTATTATGCATCAATGTTGTTATATATAGTAATTTTTGTGGTGGCATGTATGTAATTGTCTAAAATGACATGTATGAGATGGGTATTGATGTGGGTCTTGTTATGTTGTGGGTCGTGGTGTGATGTGTTTGCCTCAAATGAAAAATATAAGATGGGGTTTTATCTGTCCCTTTGATGTTATAGTAAGAATTTGAAAATTGGAGATTGGATGAAAGGGGGTGCTTACTTTGCAAATAGAAATATTTGAGGTGTCATGTATGTAATTGCCTAAAATGATAAATATGGGATGTGGTTTTGTTGTGTTATGGGTTATGGTGTGGTGTGGTTGTTTGTGTTGTGATTTGCTTACCTCAAATAAAAAAAATGGGAATGGGTTGCTCGTATGTGACGTGTGTCTTGCTATGTTGTGGATTTTGGTGTGGTGTGGTTGTCAGCGTGTGTTGTGGGTTGTAGTTTGGTGATGTGTGTTGTGGTTATGCGCTGTGGCTGTGGGTCTATGTGTGTTGTGGGTCTTCTTGTCCTATGGGTTGCGGTGTGGTTGGCTAGTTTTGTGCTTTACATTGTGGTGCGGTGGGTTTGGTTGTGCTGTTTTGTGGTGAT